GCTCAGTGAGGCACCAAGGTCTGCCTGGGACTCGGCATCAACACTGGGAAGGCTCCACTGCACCAGCCTCTCTGGGAACAGGTCATAAGATTTCCCCAGAATGTTCCTCACACTGGGGACTCTGCCCAGGGAGCCATCCACATGTCTGTTGTAACAACAAACACATCTTTGCTGGGTAAATAAAAAGCAGTATTATCTCCCAGAGAGCCCCAAGCGTTTCTTAGGAACCGCTTGGGGCATGAAAGGTCAGCTATTTCTCAATTCCTCACCTTTCTACATCACTTTGTTTGTGCAACTGCTCACTCCCACGCGTGCTTAAGGCCGACATTCCTGAGTGAGGAAGCATCCGTGGGCACTGACTGCCAGGACCAAGCCCCCAGCCCGGGAAGAGCTTTGCTGTCTCCACTCCACTCCACAGCAGAGATGGAACACGCTCAAATCCAACAGCGACTGCCACCAATACCTGCTGTCTCAGCCTCAAGAACACCCTGTGCCACCTGTTTTTTGTTGTATTTTGGGGTGGGTTATTGCCAGCCGCCCTCAGCCCAGTTCTGAGGTTGTGCTGCACGTCAAATCTCCCCCTGTTGCTTTTCTCCCCGGTTTTGCCGGCCCCGCAGCACAGGACTCAGCAAGCTCAGCCATGGCTCCAACCAGCCCGATGAGCCCGTCACTGACACGGCTGCGAGACGGGACCATTAACAGGAAAAAAAATTATTTAAAATAAAAAAGGCAAAGCAATCGGGCGCGGCAGGACCCGGGGTTTTGAGGGAAAAAAAGAAAGAATCGAGACCGAAACCACACAACGCCCAGGGCAGACGCGGCGGCCGCGGCTCCCGCTCGACCGCGGCCGGTCGCAACCCCGCCTCCTCGGACAACACCCTCTGCCCCGAAAACTTCCGAGCCCCGGTCCCCGGCCGCTCATTCACCCGCTGGCCGCCAGCGCCGGGCTCCCGCGCCGCGGGCTCCGCCGGCATCGCCGCTGCCTGCCCGCCGCCCACCGGCGGCTCGGCACCCGCCCCGCTCCGCCTCGCCAGCTGATCCTCGGCCGTCGAGTCTACGACGAGGAGGCTGACGGCGCCGGCGGCGGCGCGGATCCGCTCCACCACCTGCTGATGGCTCTCCCGCTCCACGTTCTCGCCGTCCACCTCCAGCAGCCGGTCCCCGGCGCGCAGCCCCGACCGCTCGGCCGGCGAGCCCGCCTCCACCAGCCGGATGAACTGGCCCGGCTTGCCCTTCTCGCCGTGCAGGTGGAAGCCGTAGCCATCCGGGCCGCGCTCCAGGCGGCACAGGCGGGCGGCGGGGCCCGCGCCGCTGCTCATGGCGGGGGAAGCGGCGGGAGCAGCAGCGGGCCCGTCCCGCCGCCCGCACTCGGCGCACTGCGCGGCAACGCGCCCGCCTCACGGCTTATATAGGGGGGCGGGGCGCGGGGGTCGGCGGCCGCCAATCGGAGAGCGGGGTGGGCTGATGCCCGCCAAAGAAGGACAGCGAGGGGCGTGTCTATGCAAATCTAAAGGCGCGGTTATGCAAATATGGGCGGCCCGGGTGTCCCGGTGCGCTCTGGCCCCGGCGGGCGCTCGGGGCGCGGCGCCGCCGGGTCGCGGTGCCTGCCCCGGACCGGACCGCTCCCGTGGGCTCCCATCGCTCCCCCGTGATCCGGGCCACTCCCCGGTGCCACCCGACCCCACCGAGCCAACTCCCGATTCTCGCTGAACGCCCCCCACCGGGCATCGGCGCCGCCGGGTCGCGGTGCCTGCCCCGGACCGGACCGCTCCCGTGGGCTCCCATCGCTCCCCCGTGATCCGGGCCGCTCCCCGGTGCCACCCGAGCCCACGGCACCAACTCCCGATCCTCGCTGAACTCCCCCCACCGGGGATCGGCTCTGTCTCGGAGACAGCCCCCAGCACGGACGGAGACCGGGACGCTCCCAGCTGTTCCCGCTCCGCGACACATCCCGGGTGGCCTCTCGGGGAACATCCATCCCACACCCTCGCCCAGTTCTTGAAGGCTGCAGTTTGTCCCAGCGCTGCTCCGATGTAGAGGGTGGAGAGATGTTCGAAGTAAAATAAAAAGAAGTAAAATAAAAAGAAGTAAAATAAAAAGAAGTAAAATAAGATCCCTAAATTGAAACTGCGCGGGAAAGCAGGCATGGAAGAAGGAAGGTAACTCGCTTTGCAGTGGAAATGAGACACCAGCACTGTTCCCCAGCTGCCTCTGAACCTTGCTCAGCACCCTAGAGCTGGGGGTCCGAGGTGGGAGAAGATGGAGGGAACCCCGAGGATTTGCTCTGCCCTGGTTGCATGTTCTCTGCTCATGGACTGAGAAGCAGAAGTAGCTGCAGGGAGCCATGAGCATGTGAGATCCTGGGGTTTGGGCTCAGCCAGGGCAGAGCAAGGCAGCAACCACCCTGGGCTGCTCCGGCCGTGCCGCAGGGCTGCTGGTGCCAGGAGGAGCTGCCTCCTGGGATTGTCCCAGGAGGGTGGCACAGAGGTGGCTCCCAGTGCAGGGCCTGGCTGAAGTTCCTGGGCAGAGATCCTCAGGGCAGCCAGGATCACATTTAACTGAGCTGCAGACAGGCGAGCAAGGAGGGGACAGCTGCATGCCATGAGACACATCTCTCACAAGGTTCTCTGCCCCAAAACCCTGCTCAGGGACCTCAGCGGCCGCAGAGCCCCCTGTATGCTCGGGGTGGCCGTGCTCCAGCTCCGTGGGACGCAGCTGGGAGCGCAGGGTGGGCTCATTTGTTTCCTCCACTCGGCTGAGCATTCGCCCGCGGCCGCCGCTGAGAAAAGCGGCGGAGAGGAATCCCACGGCAGCCGGCGACAAATGCCTTCGGAGAGGAAAAGCAGGGCAAGCCCTTGGTGTTGTGGTAGAGCCCCAGTACGGGGGGCTATCGCCCGTGTCACAGCCGCCCCTTGGCAAGGGGGCTGTGAGCAGCACAGCCCCACGAGTGAGCGTTTTGGAAAGAGCACATTTTGGGTACCCTGCACTCAGTCAGGAAACAAAACCCAGCTCCAGCAGGGCTGGTTTGAGCACGGGACAGTGATAAGGAAGAAAGGCAAGAGCAAAGGAAACGGCTGAAGCTGCTTTTGGGTCCAACAGTGCCTGCGGGATGGCAGGGCACAGGCAGGACGGTCGCGCCCCAGGCTGCCTCCTCCTGCCCTTTGCATCTTGGGGTGAAGTTAAGGGAGCTCAGGCAGGAGCGGGGAAAGAGAAAAGAGCCAATGTCCGTTTGTGTTGAAGCCATCCAGCATTTTTTTTTGCAGACATCAGCCAAGCGGCAGCAGCAATGCCATTGGTGGGAAGACGGAGTTATTTGGGGAATGCTGGACTCCGCACCATGAGAACAGCAGGGGAGGAGGTTGGTTTTAATTTAACAGGCCATGTTTACTGTTCCCCTCTCACCTTTGGTCTGTCTGAAATGTGCAGTGAAAGCCCTCCCCGGCAGGAAGGCAGGGAGGAAGGGGCCCTGGGTGCTTCCCCCTCCCCAGGGCTGCTCCCAGGGCCCCCGGCCCGGCTGCTCTGCAGCGCCTGTGTGCAGCAGCCTCCCACGTTGCAGCCCCAGGGCAGGGATTTCTCACGCAATAAACAATCCGACAGATGCAAAGCCTCAAAAAATGCCCAGCTTTAATCTGTAAACTTGCAAAGAGAGACCCAGGGGCAGAGCAGAGGTGAAGGAGGCACCGGGGCAGGCGAGATGTGAGCAGTCAGGTGCAGGGCCAGGGAAGATGCAGATGGGGACAGATGTGCTGGACAGTCCCTGACTCCTACGTGCAGTGCCATACCCTGCACAGCTGCTCTCTGGATCAGTGCTTCAGCTACATAACTAAATATTCACCATCTGACTGCTCTGGGTAGTGCTCAGGGGAATGGACAGTGTGCTTGAGGGAGCAGCAAAGCTGGGCTGAGCACCAGGGATGTCCCTGAGCCTCACCAGTGCCCAACAGAGCAGTGTTTGCTGGCTGAAGGCTCTCGGGCATCTGGTCTCCAGAAAGTGAGTTCCAGCTGCTATTTGCTAATAGCAGGAAGGCATAGCTGTGTTACGTGGACAGTGATGGGAGAGAAACCCAGCCTGGCTTGGGAGGTGGCAGGGCTGAAGCAACACCCCAAGTTATGCCACCATGGGCATCTCCTGCATGAGGCTGGAGATGGTTCAGTCTGGAGGCACTGAAATGGAAAAGCCTTTTCTTGTTTAAAAAAATAATTTCTGTAATTTCTGTGGCTACAACATGGGGGGAGCAAAGTTTTTCCAAATTGCTGTCTGTACCAGAAGTGCCCCAAGCATTGCTCGGATGCTCCCAGGGGAATTTCACTTCTCACACCAGCTGTGTGGGCAGGGAGCAGGTTTGGCTGGACCCTTCCCCATCCCAGCCCTTCCCTCGAGCAGAGCCAGGATACAATGGGGACATCATTGCATTTGTGGCAGCAGGAGGATAAAAGCCTTTGGCAGCAACTGCAGAAATGAGGAGCCACAGCTGATTGTGGGCACTGGGGTGTGGGGCAGCCCGGGGGGCAGAGCTGAGGTTCCTTGGAGGGAAGCCAGAGCCTGGCAGCACCAGGGACATGGGGCTGGACCAGGCCCTTCCAGTTGGACAGAAGCAGCACTGTGAGCAGGAATAGCTGCAAGGGAGGACAGGGCTAGAGGCTGCAGGGAGGCTCATCCATGGCACAGCCCCTCCAACTGCTCCAAGGGTCTCAGTGAGGTGTGTGGCTGTGTCCTGCACCCTGCTCATGTGCTGGAGGTGATGGATCACCATGGCTTGCTGGCCAGGCTGGCAGTCACCACACCATAGTGATTCCCACGGTGGCACACAGGTCGTTGCTCTGCAGGGCAGCAGGATTTGAATCCTAGCACCAGGACAAGGACTCTCCTCATGGACTCAGCTACACTGTACTGTGCCATCCACCTTGGCTTGTCAGAACTTGGTTCCCTCTGGTGCTTGAGGGCAGGATTGGGCCCCACTCTGCTTCCCACCTGGGCCCCCAGGCCTGCCAGCTCCTCTGGGCCACCCTCAGGAGAAGGCACAGCAGCTGGATTTCTTCTTCTGTGACTCGATGTACTCGTGGATCTGGAAGTGAGGCTCATCCAGCGGCTGCCCCGCGCGCTGCTTCAGCTCCCTAGGGTGATGGGGCTGTGTTACCCTCTCCCACACTGTGCTGGTGTATGGGAGGTGCTGGGGCTGCAGGGGACACCTTCCTTGCTCAGTGCCCTGGCCCCAGGTACTCACTTGGCAATGGCCAGGAAGGCCAGCTCCACGTTCATGCCCGTCTTGGCACTCGTCTCCATGAAAGGCACTCCATACTCCTGCAGGAGCAGCACCACCCCATCAGTGGCTATCACCAAGATGCCTTCCTGGCCCTCTGAATCATCCCTGTAGCCTGGACGAGGCTTGAGGGTCATCCCCTCCCTGCCTTGCCCCAGGATTTGCAGGCAAGTGACTGCAGTGCTGGCCCTGCAAGCGCCAGGCGGGTCTGGGCACCCAGAGGGGATGGCACTGCTGCATGGGAACCCTGAGGGACGTGAAATTGTCTGGGAGGGGCTAAAGTTGGGTTAGACCATGGCACAACTCACCCTGGCCAGTGATGCTCCCTCCTCCGTCCTCACAGCTCTCTCGCTGCTCACATCAGCCTAAAGGGAAGGAAAATGTCACTGCACACCTGGCCTGCTGGCACCCTGGGGCATCTGGCAAAGCAGCAGTGCGGGGTGTCAGGGCTGACAGGAAGCAGGGGCAGCATGGATCCAGAAGTATCCACTGCCCAGAGAATCTGGGATCTGTGGAGCATCTGGGACCTGGTGCCATTGGGGACATCAGGGGGACCTGGGACCTGGGGACACCGAGGACCTGGAGCAGTACCTGAGGGCATCCAGGAGCCAGGGAGGCTCTGGTACCCTGCTGGGCATCCAGTACCCAGCATCATGCAGGATCTAGGGGATATCCAGTCCCAAGGGGAAATACAACTGGGAACTGGGCACCCAGCAGCATCTAGGACCCCTGGGGAGAATCTGGGACCTTGTTGGGCCTCTGAAGCTTGGGGGTTACCTGAGGTCCAGGGGTGCATCCGGGCCCGGATGGGCATCCCACAGTCAGCAGCATCCCACACCGAAGCATCCCTGGAGCCTCAGCCTCCTGCTGCCACCCGCTGGCTACCGGGAACACCGCCCACCCCCAGCCCCGACCTGGGAGCACCCCTGGGCTCGGCTGAGCCCCGGAAGAAGCAGAGCCCAGAGGTGCAGGGTGAGGGCAGAGCCCCGTCCCTGCACAGCCATGGGCATCCAAGGGCTCGGCACAGCACAGCAAAGCCCAGGGTGGAGGGCACCCTCCACGCACCTTATTGCCCAGCAGCATGATGACCACGTCCTTCTGGGCGTACTCGTGGATCTCTGTCAGCCAGGCCTGTGGGGCAGCAGGACTGTGTTGGGGTGAGGGGTACTCCTGTCCCCCCCAGCTCAGCCCCCCACCCTTCAGTACCCCCCTCCCTTCCCTCTCAGCCCTCACATCCCCTCAGCACCCCCATCTCTCCCCCACAAGGACAGGGATAATGACTTTTCTTGGCACAGGAATTATTCCAGCAACACAAATAAAGCAGTCCTGAAAACACCCTGTCTCCTGGCTACAGCCCAAGCCGTAGTTCACATCCTTCCCAAACCACGTTTTCTCCCTCAGGCATTCGCCATGTCCTTAAACAAAACTCAGCCAGCCATGCAGCACCCAGCCAGGTGCCCTGGGATGAGCTCCCAGCTGGCTGGCTCTGACCAGAACAGCCAGAGCTTGGGGGTAGAGCAGGTTCCTGACTCTCCAAGCACCCAGCCAGCCACACAGGGCACCCTGCTCCCAGCCCTGGGGAGAAACACCCCCAGCCACGGCGGCACTCACACGGATGTTGTCAAAGGACATCTTGCTGGTGATGTCGTAGAGCAGGAGCAGAGCTGGAGGGGAAGAGGCAGAGGCATTGCTGCACTGCAGGAACGTGCTCTGCATGGTCTCCCCAGCCCTGCTGGGCTCCAAACTCACCTTGGGCATCCCGGTAGTAGGCGTGGGTGACGCTGCGGAAACGCTCCTGTCCTGCCGTGTCCCAGATCTACCAAGAAACTGCCCTGGTGAGAACAGGGAGAGCAGCCTCCCCCAGCTGGGTCTGCTCCTGTGGCTCCCAGCCCTGCCGGACCACCACGCTAGGCCTGAGGTGGGTTTCCATCTGGAAATTTCTTCCCCCCTCCCAAAGCTCACCTGCAGCTTCACCTTCACACCATCCACGACCACCACTTTGTTCTGCAGGAGACAAGGAGAGCAGGTTTATCAGCCCAAAGCATGTCCTGGTGCCTGAGCTGGCTTTCCACAGCCCCTCACTGCTCTCCCTGGGCTGTGGGATGAAGCCAGGCTGCCTGTGGGGCTGGACATTGAAGCCTCATTGCTACAAACCATGGTCCTGGTTGTTTGGCAGCTCCAGGGACATCCCAGAGCAGCAACCCCTCTAGTCAGAGTGAACAGCAGAATCAGCAGGGAGGAGACAGCAGGACCCCAGCCTGCCTTGGATCCAGAGCCTCGTTCATCTCCTACAGCCAAAATCCCTGTCCTTGCCTCCCACATCCCCTAATGAGTCACTTAATGAGGCTGGCTGTCCAGCAAATCCCAGGAGCACCGACCTGCTCTGGCTCCTGCTGGGAAACTCTGGGATTGCAGCAGCCCCTGGGAAGTTGGCAGAGCTGCGGAAGTGGGGAGGCATGGAAGAACCACACATCATTTTGCATTTATTAATAACAGGTTGGTGTGCTTTTATGTGTGCTCACCAAAAAGCCCTGATCTTTCTGATGGAACTCAGCTCCATGTGCTCAGGAACCACTGCTGCACTAAAAATTGAGCTTGTTTGCAGTAATTTAAGGGTTTTGGATGCTACAAATTGCCTGGGCACACTCACTGGGAGATGCTGGGTGTCCTGCTCAGGTTTTCTTGCTGGTTGAGCCTCCTCATTAAAGGAGGTAGTAAAGACTAAGCTGGAGGGGCTGCATGTAGCACACAGCTGTATTCATCATGGCAGGAGGAAATCTCCTGGGTCAGGATGCTTTGCAGCCAGGCTGGGACCAGGAAAGGAAAGAGGCATTTCCAGCTGAGCTGGGAAGGCAGCTATTGAGGCTTAAGCAATCACTGTTCTCATCTCAGAAGTGCAGGGGCTTCTCTCCAGAGGCCAGAAAAAAAGAAAATAAAAGACTACTGAAAAGCTATTTTAAGACTCTTAAAGAATCATACTTGGAGTCTGGAAAGAGAAGACCCCTATAAATAATTTGCTTGCCTGGAATTGTTTGAAATGGAAATTCAGCCCATGTGGTGATGACAGCATTCGAGCAAATGGGCTGGATAAAACAAAAGATGCCCTAGGAGACTCTGGAGATTACCTAGAGCAATGAGCCATGAGCTGCTGGAGGGGATGCTTGCAACACCTCTGGGGACACCAGCATTGAGCCCAGCAGATTTTCCTTCTTTCATGACTTTATCATAAGGACAGGCCTCATGACCCTTTCAAACCAAACCCACAGCCATCTCTCTCCCCCACCCCTGATCACCAAGCCCCCAGCTCCACCAAAAGCCAAAGCTAGGGCAGCAAAAGTGGCAGAGAACTGGAGCAGCTGCAGCCGTGGGGGCAGAGGAAGCCCTGACCACACTTGACACGTGTGGGTGGCTGTGGGCAGAGCTCTGCCCAGGGACACCCCCGTGACTTCCTTCCTGCTCTGCCCTGTGCTGCAAACAGCTGTGCCTCCCTGGATACCCTCAGAGAGAGCCTGCAGCTGAAATGTGTTGAGCAGACAGCAGTGTGGGGGTTTAAACAGAATCTGGTAACCCTAACGACTTCTCAGCAGCCCATTTCAGCCCTTTCAAGGCACGAAATTACAGCAACCAGTGTTTGTCCCCCCCAGCTGCTGGCTTTGCCTGCATGGTGGAGTGCACTGGCTGCCCAGCACACACCCCCAGACCATGAACACAGCTGGGATGGGCTAAACCTGGACTGTTTGCTGGTTTAAAGGTAAGAGGCAACAGTACCAGTGGACTCTTCCATCTATTACTGCTCTCCTAGGGAGGGGTGGAAGGGCTCCAGCCAGCACCTGCAGCTGGCTGGGAGATAACTGGGGGTACAGAGGCTGGAAACCCCCATTCCCCCTGCCCAGCAGCCTGTCCTGGCCCAGGTGCAGGGCAAGGGGGGCGAGGGGCTGGCAGCTGTGCTGGTCTCACCCGGAAATCTATGCCCACGGTGGCAATGAACGTCCCGGAGAGAAAGGCCCCGTCTTTGAACTGCAGCAAGAAGCAGGTTTTGCCCACGCCCGAGTCTCCAAGCAACATCACCTGCAAGATGGGCGCAGGGAGAGATGTCAGCAGGGCAGGGAGGGAGCAGCACCTCTGACTGGTGCTGAACCCTCCCCAGTTCCTTCTCTCCCTTTCTTTCTTTCCCCGGGGCTGGTCCTGATGGGTTTGGAAAGCCCCATGGGAGCTGGGAGTGGGATGGGACCCCTGAGGGTGCAGCCAAGCAGTGCCCCAGGACAGCAGGGCAGCCCCCAGCCCCTAAAGAGGGGGGAGCTGGTGTGAAAGCAAGTACTGCAGCAGGAAGGGATGTCTCCTAGTCAGCCCCTGGCCATCTCCCAGCCCAGCAGGCTCCTGGAGAACCAGCCACAGCTCCCAGATGAGTGGAGACACCTCTGCCCACGCTTTGCCCCTGACCTGGGTGTGCCCAGCCCAAGGGCTGATGCATGGCTTGGGCAAACCCTGCGTGTCCGGGACTCTCTCCCTGCCAGTGCCTGCTGCAGACACCAGAGCAAACACGGTGCCTTTCTCCTCCTGCTAAGCAAACAGGATCAGCCCAGGCTCTCCAGCACTGCCAGACTCAGGCAGGGAGCAGCCAAGACCAATTCTGGGCTCCATAAGCACAGCCTTCCCCGATGCTGTGTTCCTTCTGCCTACCTGCAGCAACCTGTTCCTGCCCAGCAATCATTAACCTGACTGCATCATTTTTTACCCTTATGAAATTCAATAGCAGCGAGCAGGACTTCAGCAGGAAGGTCCATCCCTGCATGCTCAGCTGACAGGATGCTGGAGCTTGTAAAATAAATCTCTGCAGCCCTACTGCCTCTGGGGCAGGCAAGCACAGCGGGCCATGGCCACCTTCCACAGGGATGGCACAGCAAATGCCAAAGCTGGTGCCTGGAAATGTTCTGCCTCCTGTGACCATTTTGCTGGTGAAATCCTTCCCCAGGGCTTGCGGGAGCTGGGAACACTGCTCAGTTCTGCCTCCACCTCACTCTAGACCAAGCTGAAAACTGGTTTTCTCCCCCAGACATGGAAATTACCCTCCATGAAGAGGAGTCAGAGAGGGAAGGATAAAGGCAAAGGAATAAAAGCAGTTTAGAGAAGGTGGCAGCGTGCAGGACCACTTTGGAACCGGCTCAGTGAGGCAGCAGGGGGAGCCAGGGCTGACACCATCAGTGCTGGGCTCAGCCTGGGGCTGTATATTAAATTTTGGGAGTAAAAGCTTCATCAGCCCTGTGCCTCCCCTGAGCTGCTCAGATGAGGAAGGTGCTCCTGGGGCAACCCTTGCCTGGGCTGGGGTGGGGAAGGAGGGCTCCCCCCTGCCCCAAGGCCTGGCAGGGGTGCAGAAACACTGACAACTGGCATGCTGTGGTGAGAGTGAAGGGGGACCCTGGGCCAGATCTGGGCTCAAATGCTGTTCCCACCTCGGAGCCCCTGGGGTGCTGTGATGGCCTGGATGGGATCCTGTCTCCCTGGCACAGCTGCGGGGCTGGCAGGAGCCCCTTGCCCTGAAAACGGTCTGAGGGGCTTTCAGGGGCAGAGTTTGTCCACGCTTCTCTTCTTTGGGAGCCCCCCGAAATCCCGTTCCTGCAGCTGGTCCCTCCTAGTGCCACTGCCGGGCAGGGACGCCCCCGGGGCACAGACGGCACCCTCGGGGCAGGGATGTTCCCATCTCCACCTTCCGGGGAGGAAAAACCCCAATTTCTGCCCTGCTGCATCGGGAGACTCCGGGGCAGAGCAGGGCTGGGGGGACCAGCCGGGGCTGCCGCCTCCTCCTTCTTCCTTCCCCGTTTCGCGGCCGCTTCCTGGGCACGATGGCAGCAGCGGAGGAAGCGGGCGGCCCTCGGGACCCTTCCTCAACCCCTCCTGGTCTGCCCCAAGCCGGGGAGCGACCCCAGACCTTCCCCTCTGGCAGAGCTCGGGGGCTCCATCCCCGCTCACCCCGCGCCGCCTCCCACCTTGCCGCACAGTTCGTAATCCCGGGGCGGCGCCGGGGGATCCCCGCTGCTCCTGGGGGGATCCCCGCTGCTCCTGGGGGGATCCCCGCTGCTCCTGGGGGGATCCCCGCTGCTCCTCGGGGGATCCCCGCTCCCCTCCAGGCTCTCGCGCCCCGCTGCCCCATCGGGGCCGCCCATGGTGCGTCCGAGCGGAGCCGCCGAGTCCCGGCGCCTGCGGGAGCTGCGGCCCCACCCGGCTTCCTCCTCCTCCTCTTCCTCCTCCTCCTCCTCCTCCCCGGCCGATGCCACCCCCGAGGCCGTGCCCCGGCCGCCTCCCTGCCCAGCCCGGGCACGGGATGAGGAGGAAGAGGCTGAAGAGTGGGAACCTGCCCCGCGGCACCCCCACACCCCGCGGTGCTGGGGTTTGCTCGCGGCTGGGCAGAGCCCCGGAGCATCCCTCCGGACACTCGGGCGGGGACAGGAGGAGCTGCTCACCCCGCAAATGAAGTCACCTCGTCCCTCCCAGACTGTGGGGATGGAGACCCCGGTGCTACCAAATCCCACCCTGCCACACCGGGACAGTGGGGATGGCAGCTCCCACTCCCACCCCACCAGCCCAGCCCAGCGTGGGGGGTTTGCCCCTGTTATGGTTCTTTTTCCGTGTCAAACCACGACAGCCCCATCTGCTGCAGCCCCAGCTGAGCACCCTGGAGCCAGGAGCCGGCAGGGAAGCGGAGCAGGAGCTGTTAGCCGGAGGCCACGAGCTGTGCCGAGCTGGCACCTCCATCTCACCCAGGATGTCTGCCAAGCCTCCCGCTCCCCCCACAGCCCCCTGCATCCTACACCAGTCTTTGGGGCCCAGCTCATACTGCACTTCATTTAGGAAAAGCCCAAGCATGGAAATGTGGGAGAAATCCCTGGAGATGGATGTTGTGTTACCCAAAATCCCACCCTGTAAAAACCCATACAAGTCCATGCACTAGAGCTGGTCAAGGTTTCAGCCTTCCAGGCATCACTTCATGTATAGGAGCCTTGAGTCCTCCCTGATCTATTCTCCCTGGAACATCTTCTCATCTCATCTCATCTCATCTCATCTCATCTCATCTCATCTCATCTCATCTCATCTCATCTCATCTCAATCTCACTCTCCCTCATCAAGGCTAATCTCAGGGCAGTCCCCATCCCTGCTCACACCGCTGAGATTCAGGGATGCAGGGCTCCAGTGCTGTGCCCCTTGCTGCTCTCTGGGTAAAGGCCACACGTGCCCACAGGAGGTCCAGTGGCAGAGATGCCCTCTGGAATGCCATCCACCTCCACACCTTCTGGGGCTGCTGGCCCCTGCCCCAGCCAAGCCCTCCTTTGCCCCCGGGAAATAGAACCTGTATTTCCAGTCCTGTAACTGCGCTCAGACCCAGCTGGGGGATTTATAGTTTATAGGTGCCCTTTGGCCAGGAAAGTGCCCAGAGCTGGAGGCTGGAGGCACTTGGAGCTCCTGGAAGTGGCTGAACTTCTCTGCAACAAGATGGGGAGGGGGCTGGAAGCATATGGAAAACCGTGCTCATGGAGTTGCCTGGGCAGGAAAAACATCTGGCTGAGCATCACTTCCACACAATGGCATTTGCTGTGGGAGAAATGAGGCAGCTGGAAGCTGGCAGAGATCAGTGGTGTGCCTGAGCCTCCTCTGTCTGCCCACAGCTCAATCCCCTCAGCAGGGGCACCCTTGGCTGCTGGTCCCTGGGCTGCTTGGCCCCAGACCATCCCTGCTGGTGCCACATTTTTCTGCTTCCTTGGCCTGGACTAGAAAGAAAATTCCTGTGGGTAATCACATCCCCATAGGTAACTGGTCCCAAGCACTGTCCCTGTCCTGAGCTTCCCCAGGAGAGGGGGGACACACATCAGAGCCACTTGAGACCCCACAGCAGCTTTGCAAATAGCTCTGGATGGCAACCGAGTGCTTTTCCCAGGCACTGTCACCATCTGCCTGACATTTTGCCAGGGCCCCAGGCTGGACACAGGCAGGACACAGGTTGGCATCTCTCTGGCAGAGCAGGGCAGCTCCAAAGGCAGCTTTCTGTGTGTGAAGGCTGCACTCAGACACGGCCCCATCAAGGGATTTGGAATATGGAGCTTTATCCATCCTTCATCCCTCCCAGCAGTCCAAAGCATGCCAAGAAGCACAATGCCAAAACAAACTCCTCATCCAGCAGCACCACAGCAAAGAATCCAAATTTTTGTGCTTACCACAGATCCACAGATTCTGATTCCCCAAATAAAGCTGCTCCCCAAGGGTGAGTGCACAGCCCAGGGGACAGGGACTGGGTTCTTACCGTAAACCCAATGCCCACGGTGGCAGAGAAGGAGCCAGGAATGAACTTGCCCTGGTCAAACTGGACCAGCAGTGATGTTTTCCCCACGCCACTGTCTCCAACCAGGATTGTCTGCAAGGACCAGATAAAGAGGCATCAGTGCAAGTGCAGGTGATGGGGGAGCTGGGGGTCAGATATTTGGGGAGGTGTGCTGGGGGAATGTGGCAGCAAATGCAGCAGGATCAAGAAGGACCCACCCAGCCCCTGGGTCTCTCACGTTTGGTTCTGCCACTTGCCCAGAGAGGAATCTCCACCCCTTTGTCCATCTCTGTAATTAATTAAATGTTCTCTGGGATGAGCTTCCGGCCTGAAACCCACTGCACCCTGTCCAAGAGAGCAGAGATGGGAGGGAAAGTAAAGCACAATCATGGAGAGTGAGCAGGAGAGACGCTCCTACCCCAACTCAGGAAGCTGCCGGGTAGAAACAGCCTTGGTTCACACAGGCTTGTTGGAAAACCTCTTTGGGAGGACTTTGGAGTCACTGGATCAAGTCCAAAACTGTTTAGTAAAGAGAGCATCTCCTGCAGCTGCTGCACACAGCTGCTGCCACAGCCAAGCAACCTCGCCGGGTCACTGGGCTGATTTTGTGCTGCCTTAATGTCACGGACCCACAGCACTCCCTCCTGGCAAAGTGATGGCTTTGAAGTCATGAATTCCTCCTGCCTCTCCAGCCTCCAGGGGAAGCTCCAGAGCGCTCCCATCCCTGAGCAGAAGGGACGAGGGAGCTGTGCCGGTGCCAGAGCTGCCACCTCTTGAGCAGCTCCCACACTGCCAGCCCATGGCCCTGGTACCCACCCGCACCCCTGGGCAGCTCATCTTCCCTTCTGCTCTACCTGTGTCCCTCAAAATGCCTGACCCAAGGGAGCCCTGCAGTGCAAACAGAACCCCTCCCTTCCCTCTGCTGGTACCTGGCTTTTGTTCACAGAGCCACTGGCAAACATTCCCATCCTTTCAGGAAACCCAGGCACTTTCAACCCTTTTGCAGGACACGAATGAAAATAAATAATCTGCTACCAGCCTTCTTGCTTAGAAGTGGTTTGGGCTTTGTGTTTCAGGACAGGGGTGATCCTGAAGCTGCAGTTGTGGCAAGCACGGAGTGTTCTCTCTGTTACTGGTCCCTGTCACCCCTGAGGCTTCAGGGATGAGGCAGCGAGGTGCTGGGACTAAACCTCCCCACTCTCTGCATCCACCTCTGCTGCACTTGGCTGCATCTGTTTTACCCCTCCTTGATTTGTGCTTGTGCAGCTCCAGCAGCCTTGCTCCATCCTGCAACACCTCCTTCCTTTGCTTGAAGGTGCTTCAGTACCTCCCCAGTATGCAGGGGAGCCTCTGTGCACATCTGGTCCTGTCCCAAAGTGCTCTGGGGCGTGACCAATCCTGGCACTACTTCAGGCACTGCACTTCCCTGGTAAAACACAGCATCAGTGTGAAGAAATGTGTTTCACCAATGCCTGAACAGCCCCAGCAGATCAAGACCTGATTCCATACACTGGGACACCACGTGGGATTCACAGCACTTGGTACCAGGGTTCCTGCACCTCACAGAACCCAAAGAAGAGGGGTGAAACCAAAAGCCAAGGAGCTTGAGGAGCACAAGCAATGCAGGGATGTGGACTGGCAGGAAATCAGTGTCCTGCCTTGAATAAAGCACCACCCCACAAACTGCCTGTTCCCCCCATGCACTCCAGTGAGTGCCTGCCTCTGAGAGAACCCCGGGCTTGGTCTGGGGTCTCATGTGGTGGAAAAGTCTCAGCTCCAACCCATGCTTCCAAAGAAAAACTCTGCAGCCTCTTGTTCGGTCTCAAGGCAGTTTATTGCAAGTTATCTAAAAGATTTTCTCCTTGAGCTGCTGTGGTTTGCTCA